AGGAATGTGACACTCTGCAATGTTAGGCCTACCCTGGAAGGTTCTGGGTTGGTGTCTGGAGACCTCTCTGACACAGCTGGGTGCATGTGTGCCTGTGAACCAGGTTGGTTGAGGCAGGGGTGGAATGTGGCATGAAAACTCTTTGGGTGTGCTTCTCTCTCACACACAGAATAAAGAAACTTTAAATAAGAACATAGTTCACAAAAGAAGAATATATTTTTAAATATTTAGTAAACATTAAAAAATTCAGATTCACTCATAAGAAAAGAAATGCCAAACTAAATGATATTCTACTTTCATCCACCCAACTGCAAGATAATAAGCAGCAATAACACCCAGAGATGGTTAAAGGTGATGGGAAATGGTCACTTTCATTCATGACTGATTAGAACACAAATGGTTATAACCTTTCAGGAGGGCCATTTAGTGAAAAGTCTAAGATATATTTTCAAACACGCTGACCTAGTAATTATGGTTCTGGGAATTTATCCTAAGAAAAGATTCACAGGCTTGCACAAAGATTTATGCATCAGGATGTTCGCTGCTCCCCATGTCTAAGGGTGAAAAACAAATAAAAACAACATGAATGTCTACTTATGGATGTTTAGTGCAATAATACATTTCATCCAGATGGTTGTTAAAGACCATATTCTCAAGAATACCTAAGAATATAGAAAAATGCTCACTCTGAAGTGGAAAAAAAGCAAGTTAGAAAATGGTCTGCCATACCTACTTCAATGAGCTATTTGCAAGGATCAATTGAGACATGAATATAAAAGTGATTTGCTCCTATCTTCAACACTTTTGTATTTCTTGAAAATTATTTTTACCAGAACCATCTATTACTTGTGTCATAAAAATCTAATAGAGAAATATTAAAACGTGAGCCATGCACTGGAAAGAGTTATACTTTTTCCAGTTCACAAATAAGGAAATATTCTTATGCATACAAGATATTTGGTTGCCAGGAAATTGTTTTGTCCTGTACTATTTGGGAAAGCTATTCTGAATTTTCTAAACCCAAGGAGAGCTGGTGGGTAGCTGGCACCTCTCACGGAGCTGGGCAGTTAGTTGGGGAAAAAATATGAAGTACATCTGAGGATCATGCTTGGGTAAAGTCTCATACCAGCCCTAAGATGTCCTGGGAGCCATATCTATCTTTAAGGAGGATTAAAGAAGCTTGAAAAATCTTCCTTTCCAATTGCAGCCTCCTTAGTTTCTCCCCATTTTCAGAGGAATAGAAGATTCAGGAGAAAAACTGTGGACAGGCCATTTAAATCCAGATCTTTTCTCATTTCCTAAGAGTCTCTGCTTAAATATTTCCTCCCATAACACTTCCTGCTTTTCTGCAAATCTTTCTTTACAGCTCTTATCAGTCATTAGGAATAGAACATACATCTTCATGTGCTCCATTATGCATTTCCCCCTCTACAAAATGTAAGTTCTGCAGGAGCCGGGACTATTTTTGTTTGTTTTCATCATACCACTAGCAACTAGAAGAGTTCCTGATATGTAATATGTACTCAATAATTACTTAATGAATAGATAACAACTTTTCACTTTGCAAACAGGGAAAAAGAGTTCAGAGGCATTCAGCCACTCACGCAAGGACACACAGCTAATAAGTGGAACAGTTGGAACTCATACTCGGGCTGCCTAATTTCAGAACCTGTTATGGAAACCAGCACCCCACACCTTGACTATGTATTATTCATGACGATATTCAGCTGATCCAGAAGGATGTGCGGAACATAGTGGGTGCTTTATAAATGTTTGCTAAATGGAAGAATGAATGCATTTTGTCTTTTTTTCCCCTTGGTATGTCTAGAACCAGTGCAAACATGGACACATAGCAGATCATCATTAAATGTTTGTTGAATGGCTGTATGAGTGAATAGAGCTCGTAGTAGAAGTGCAGGTGACCATCTCTCCTCTCTGCTCTGGGTGCTGTGATGATCTGCAACACAGACACACTAAAAGAAACTGTATTTGTTTTTTTCAGAACCGTGGACAGAGCAGTCCATCCTGGGTTCAAACTTCACTGTTCCATTCATTTTTCACTTATTTATTCATTTATTTTTGAGAGGTTTTTGCTATAGGGCGCGTGCACTCGCCAGAAAGACAGAGAGAGACAGAGAGACAGAAAGCGAGAAATCACCCCCCAGGGAGGATGGTCATGCTGCAATCCCTTCTCCTCCATTCTCCTCTCGGGATCTTGGGCACGCACGCACACGAGCTCAGCGTGAGTTTTAAGCCCCCGGGTCTGGGACGCGAACTGCGGTCGACTATCGGGGAGTCCAGCGACATAGCCATTACGCTAACTGTTGGTTCCCTACTTATTTATTTTTTAATTGCCAGAGGTCACGCGCTCTTTGGGGGCAGGGGGAGAATCCCCCATTGGAGTGTTGATTATGCTTCAATCCCAGCTCCAATAGTATTTCATCTTTTCTGGAGTTAGGGCACACATGCTCATGTACCTGGAGTGTTTTTCAACTTGCTGGGGCCGGATTGAACTGTGGTCAGCCATGTGGGATCCAACGTCCTTAATCACTAGGCTATGGGGCCTGCCCCCACTTGTGCCACCATCTGCTATGATCTAGGGCCGGTCATTTAAGTTCTCTGAACCTCTATTTACTCACTGTGAAATGGTGGTAATTTCACTTCTCTTATAGGCCTATGTGAGAAATCAGTGACATAATGTATATGGAGAGCTGGGTGCCATCCTTGGTCCAGAGTCGGTGCTCAGAACATTCCAGCATGATTGCCCTGTGGCTCAGGAGCAGAGTGATGAAGGACGCTGTCCCTGGTGGGGAGCACCAACCATCTGTCCTCCCTGAGTTGCTGCTCATTTGCTGCCTTTCTGTTCCCCTTCTTTGCCTTATTAAGCCGACTGATGGCTCTGTTTGGCTTCAATTTGCCAGCCGTGGCTCCCTATCCATCTTTCTTAGCATAAATTGAAGCTTAATTCCTCTCTGATTTTGCACATAGATAAAAATTAACACGAGAGAAACACAGACCAACTGCCCTATGGTTTGAATTTTTTTCTTTGGTAGAAAAAAAAGAAAAAAGAAAAAAATTTGGAAGGGCCTTGGGGAAATAACACTGCAACAATTAAATCTCAGAATTTATCATCCGTTCTCCTTTACGTTTTGTATTCCTCTAGACTACAAATGCCTGGAGGTCAGGAGTTATGTCTTATTATTCTCAGTATTCTCTTGGCACATGGCACATAGTAGGTTAATGTGCACAACCTATCCCAGCCACCATCAGGACATTTGGGAACCTAAATGGATTTTGCTGTCTTGATAGATGAAGATAACCACGGCTGTGCCCTGTGGTTTGTGGACAGTGTGGTACAACCCTGTGTTTCTCAAACTGCAGCGTGTACAGGAGTCACTCAAGGGTCACGTCAAAATGCAGATCCTGAATATGGAAGATTCGTTGCTGAGTGAAGCAAGTCAGGCTATGAGTGCCACCATCTGCTATGATCTAGGGCCGGTCATTTAAGTTCTCTGAACCTCTATTTACTCACTGTGAAATGGTGGTAATTTCACTTCTCTTATAGGCCTATGTGAGAAATCAGTGACATAATGTATATGGAGAGCTGGGTGCCATCCTTGGTCCAGAGTCGGTGCTCAGAACATTCCAGCATGATTGCCCTGTGGCTCAGGAGCAGAGTGATGAAGGACGCTGTCCCTGGTGGGGAGCACCAACCATCTGTCCTCCCTGAGTTGCTGCTCATTTGCTGCCTTTCTGTTCCCCTTCTTTGCCTTATTAAGCCGACTGATGGCTCTGTTTGGCTTCAATTTGCCAGCCGTGGCTCCCTATCCATCTTTCTTAGCATAAATTGAAGCTTAATTCCTCTCTGATTTTGCACATAGATAAAAATTAACACGAGAGAAACACAGACCAACTGCCCTATGGTTTGAATTTTTTTCTTTGGTAGAAAAAAAAGAAAAAAGAAAAAAATTTGGAAGGGCCTTGGGGAAATAACACTGCAACAATTAAATCTCAGAATTTATCATCCGTTCTCCTTTACGTTTTGTATTCCTCTAGACTACAAATGCCTGGAGGTCAGGAGTTATGTCTTATTATTCTCAGTATTCTCTTGGCACATGGCACATAGTAGGTTAATGTGCACAACCTATCCCAGCCACCATCAGGACATTTGGGAACCTAAATGGATTTTGCTGTCTTGATAGATGAAGATAACCACGGCTGTGCCCTGTGGTTTGTGGACAGTGTGGTACAACCCTGTGTTTCTCAAACTGCAGCGTGTACAGGAGTCACTCAAGGGTCACGTCAAAATGCAGATCCTGAATATGGAAGATTCGTTGCTGAGTGAAGCAAGTCAGGCTATGAAAGAGAGACATTGTATGTCTCCACTTGACATGCACCAACTGTCAGCACTCTATGGTAGAGACTGAAAGACTGGAGGACATAAAAGCATTAACAATTGTTATGGATACTAGAGACAAAGTGGAAGGAGAGTGTGGGAGGGGAAGAGAACAGGAAAGATAATTTGGGCGAAAAATGGAAAGGTAAGATATTTGTGGGACACAGATATGGTTTATTATCTGTTGATGAGGATGTGTATAGTATTCTCAACTGGACTGAAATGTATATCATGCTGGGTAAAGTCTGTTTACAATCTAAGCGATGTATAGTGATTGAATGTATAAATAATAGTAATAATAATAAAAGTAAAAAAATGAAAATTCTGATTCTGCTGGTTTTCCATGAGGCCCAGAATTGTGCATTTCTGATGATCTCACTGGACTCAAGATAAACTTAGTGAAAGTATATGGATAAAAGCTCAGAAAAGAAATATTTTGGACTAATTTCTGGCACTGCAAGGTTGTTCTTCTCTCTAAGCCTCATTCTTTTCACTGTGAAGTGCTAATCTTACCTCCCTGAGCTCATGTGGAATAGTAGATGTCATCCTAACTGATCTCAGTGAATTCTTTCTGGACACTTTCAATAATCTGTTGACCACATGGAAGCCAGAGTGATCAGTCCTGCTTAAATCCTTGCAGACATTTGCCTAGTTCACACATCTTCTCAGGGCCTGAACACCTCGAGCCACATGGTTGCTGACCACTGTCCCAACATATCCTGCAGCTTTCGCTGTAGTTTGACCAGACTGGTCCTCCTCAGTTTCTCAAACTTATCAAGTTCCTTCCCACTCTGAATCTTCCTTTGCATATGCTGGTTCACATGCTTGAACCATCTTTCCATACTCTTCCTTCAACAGCTTCTATCTGGTAACTTTGGGCAAATGACTACATCCTAGAGTCTCATCTGTAAAGTGGGGATGATAGTTCCCACCACACAGAATGGTTCTGAGGATTAATTGTAGTCCCTAGCATAATGCTCAGCACATATGAGAAGTCTTCAAAAAGTTCATGGAAAGTAAGTGTCATTAAAAAGCTGTGTGGGGACTTCAAATTTTTTTTGCATCAAAATATATTTGTACTTTTATTCCATTTTTCTATAAACTTTTTTTCTTTTTATTTATTTATTTTTACATAGGGTGTGTACTCTCTAGACAGGGACAGAAAGAGACACAGAGCAAGAGAGGGAAAGTGAGAAATGACCCCGGGGGGAAGGCCATTTCACAACTCCTTCACTTTTCTTCTCTTCTTGGAATTTTGTGCACACACACCCTGTGTGATTTTCCAGCCACCAAGTCCTGGACTCAAACCATGATTGGCTACGTGAGAATCCAGCACCTTAACCACCACCCCCACCAGTCGGTCCCTTACAGGAACTCTTAAAAGTCCTTTCATATATATATTTTTTTGGGGGGGGAGAGATTTTCACTATAGTGCGCGTGCACTTGCCAGACAGAGAGAGACATAGAGACAGAAAGCGAGAAATCACCCCCCCAGGGGGGATGGTCACGCCGCAATCTCTTCTCCTCCATTCTCCTCTCAGGATCCTGGGCAAGCACATACATGCGCCTGGCATGAGTTTCAAGCCACCAGGTCCGGGACATGAACCACGGTCGACTACGTGGGAGTCCAGCGACATAGCCATTACGCTAACTACTGGTTCCCAAAGTCCCTTCATATTTGTGGGGCTCCGAAACAGTGGCAGTAGTCATCCAAAGCACAAAAGAAACAAAACAAAACAAAAGACAAATCAGATTTTTATCAAAATTAAAAGCTTAGCATAAAATACATTATTAAGAAGTAGAAAGACAACTCACAGAATGGGAGAAAATATTTGCAAATCATATAGCTAATAAAGATATAAAGACGTTTTATAACTCAACAACAAAAGAATAAACAATCTAATTGAAAAATGGGCAAAGGGGGTCAGCCCATAGTTGGTGGTTAAGGTGGCTAGATCCCACATGGCCAACCATTCAGTTTGCGTCTCAGACTTGGCAGCTTGAAAAACACACTGCACACAGTGCAACTATACAACACTTTATTTTTAAAGATGTGGAATAACCTACCATGTGACCTTGGGACAATGACTCAGTGCCTTAATGTTTCACTTTCCTTATCTTTCCAGTGGAGTTAATCATTGTCATGGTAAGGATTAAATGAGATGATGAAAAAAGAAATGCAAAAGTATATGTGTGCATGTCCAAAATCCTGAAAGGAGAAAGAAATAGAGGACAGCAGATTGTGGTACAATCACTCCCCATATAAGGTGCTTTCTCTTTCTCTCTCTCTCTTGTGCTTGTGCTCTTGCTCTCTGTCTGGGAAGTGCACACACCCTCTAGCAGCTTAGAAATAAAAAGGGTAAAAGACTTGAATAGACATTTCTCCAAGTAGGGTATATATGGGATTGTCAGAAGAGTCATGATGTATTTTCTATGTTTCTCTATACAAAAATGTGTTATGGGAACCAGCAGTTAGTGTAAATGGCTATGTCGCTGGACTCCCACGTAGTCGACCACGGTTTGCGTCCCGGACCTGGTGGCTTCAAACTCACGCCGGGCGCATGTGCGTGTGTGCCCAAGATCCCGAGAGGAGAATGGAGGAGAAGGGATTGCGGCGTGACCATCCCCCCTGGGGGGTGATTTCTCGCTTTCTGTCTCTCTGTCTCTCTCTGTCTGTCTGGCGAGCGCACGCGCCCTATAGCGAAAAATCTCTCCAAAAAAAATGTGTTATAACTTTTCTGATGACTCAATAAACGGCCAACAAACACATGCTTGGCATCATTAGTCATCAGGGAAATGCAAGTCAAAACCACGAGATCTTTCACATCCACTACAATCTCCATAGTGAAAGTGTCAAGGTGGGTAATAGTAAGTGTAGGTAATGATGTGGAGAAATTAGTACTCTTAGGCATTTCTGGTGGAAAAGTAAAATGGTAGTTGCTATGGAAAATAGTTTGATGGGCCTTCAAAAGGTTAAACACAGAATCACCATATAACCCAGCAATTTCACTCCTGAGTATATACCTAAGAGAAATAAAAACTTGTGTCCACACAAAATCTTGCATACAAATGTTTACAGCAGCATTCTTTATAACCACTAAAAGATAGAAACAATCCCTATGTCCTTCAATGAATGAGTGGATACACAATATGTGGTACATCCATACAATGGAATATTATTAAGCCATAGAAAGAAATAAAGCCCTGACATACCGTATGACATGGGTGAATCTCGAAAACATTATGGTAAATGAGAGAAGACAAACATGTCACATACTATGTGATTCCATTTACATGAATTATCCACACTAGGCAAATCTATAGAGCCAGAAGATGGACTGTTGGTTGCTAGGGGCTGGGGCAGGAGGAATGAGGAGTGACTGCTAAGGGTAATAGGGTTTCCATTCAGTGTGATAAAGATGTTTGGGAACTAGATAGTGGTGAGAGTTGCACAATATTATGAATGTACTGAATATCTCTAGTGGTAAGTTTCATGTTATGCATATTTTACCCCAATAAAGAAAATCTCAGTTATATGTATTTGGAGCAGTCTCTTCCTCTGGCTGAGAGCCATTCTCTGAGGTCACTCATGATATCTTGGGGGTTGGTTTCTCCCCTCTTGGTTGGACCTTCAAGTTTGGACAAGCAGAGGGCTGAAGCATACCTGAACAGATAGGCTCCTGGCTGCTCCAGTGGGGCTTAGAGGCATTGATGCACGTCAGCGTCTTGGAGCCCTGGAGCTCATAGCCCAGGTGGCAGTGAAAGTGGGCCACCCCACCTGAGTGTAAGTCCATCACTGTGACATCCCCAGAGTCAGGCCGGCGGGGAAAGTTGCAACTCAGCATGAAGGCTGGGGAGAAATGCAAAGGCAGACACAGTTACCATCAGAGGTGGAGAGCAAGACCGTGACCCACATCCTGGGAGAAAATTTGTGCTGAGGATAAAGATGAGGCCCCTGGGGACTCCAGAGCACTGGAGGATGGTATTTTTGTGGTTCTCGTTAATCATATGGTGCTGACACTGCCAGATCAGCATTTTCTTGGGGCTCAAAACTTCTCACCTTGCCTAAATAGGGACAGCAGGTTTGAGATAATAAATGAATTTCTACACCTCATTTGAGCCTCTATCCATGTGGACAAAGAATGGCCTCCTCCTTGGGCACAGAAAAGGCAGGATGATCAGGTAGGTCGGTCCCACTCACATGTACATCTTAGGTGTTTGTTAAAATTGCAAACTGTGGGCCAGATGGTCACTCAGCAGTAATGCAATTGACCTACATGGAAAGATCCCAAGTTTGTTTCCTGGGGCTGTCCTGATGCTCATGCGTGTCGGTGATGCAGGCTAGTTGAGGCTGGAGGTGGACTGTAGTGTGAAGACCTTGTATAGGATAGCTGCTTTTCTATTTTTTTTTTTTTTCTTTTTCTTTTTTTTTTTCTCTTTCTCTTTTTCTGTCTCTCTTGCTCATTGAAATAAATGAAAAGCTCTTCAGAAAAATGCTTAAGGCTTTGAAAACACCTAACCTGGAAGGAAAGGACTTGGGCTTTGGACGGAGATCATGTGTGTTTACATTCTTCCTCAATCACGTGGACACTATACCACATTTTTTTTTTTTGAAGAGGTAGAATAACCGGGAACCAGCAGTTAGCGTAATGGCTATGTTGCTGGACTCCCATGTAGTCGACCGTGGTTCGCGTCCCAGACCCGGTGACTTAAAACTCACGCCAGGTGCATGTGCGTGCATGCCCAAGATCCCAGGAGGAGAATGGAGGAGAAGGGATTGTGGCGTGACCATCCCCCCTGGGGGGGGGATTTCTCGCTTTCTGTCTCTCTGTCTCTCTCTGTCTGTCTGGTGAGCGCATGCGCCCTATAGCAAAAACCTCTCAAAAAAAAAAAAAAAAAGAGGTAGAATAACCTACTATGTGAACTTGAGACAATGACTCACTGCCCTAATGTTTCACTTTCCTTATCTTTCCAGTGGAGTTAATAATTGCGATAGTAAAGATGAAATGAGTTGATGCAAAAAGGCAAAGGACTCTACTCGGCAGAATAGTTAGCATTTACTAGATGGGGTAGTAAAAGAGTGCATACGATCACAGTGAGCTCTTCAATTTTCTTAAGACAAGGTCAAATTCATCCTGGCTCTACTCCTAGACCATGGTCTGATCTCTCCTGCAGCACAGACTGTCTCTATTCCCAGTGCTAATGGGGAAGACTAAACTCAAGTTCATGGTTCAACATATTTTTTTTTTCCTGTTCGTAGTTATTATGAACTTAATAAAGGAAAAAAATAACATGTCAAATCATGATTCTATAACATGTGGATGACCACGAATGGGAATGTCAATTTCATAACAACATGGTTATCCACATTGTCATAGGAACATGTGGGGAAAAGTTAGAAATAGCTTTTTTCAGTTATCTGGTCAATTTGATATAAATGTATAATAGATAGTCCCCAACACCTGGATTGTGGCTAATGAATTCACTTTTCATACATATATTCTGGCAGCTGACACGTTTCCAAGAGAGAGCTCCTGACTCAGTGAAGGGAGGCTTGAGGACGTGGGAACTGGCTAGGATGTGAGGAAATGGGATGATAACAAAGAAGGAGGGAGGGAAGAAGTAAAAGGGGGTTAAGAAAGAGAGAGACAAAAACGAAACAAAAAACTTCAGCAAGCTCACGACTAGGAATTCATCCCAGGGGGAGGAAGTCAGTATGTTGTAAAGACTTCAGCACCCCGGGGTTTATTGCAGCACTATTCGCAATAACCAACATATGAAATCAACTCAAGTATCATTTGATGTTAAATGGGCAAGCCTGGAGGGACATCATATGAGGTGTAAGCCAGACACAGAAAGAGAAATACCACATGTTCACTCCCATGTGCAAGGACTGAAAAGATACAACCTCGTAGGAGCAGAGGGATGAAGAATAACTGCTAGAGTCTGGGAAGGATGAGTGTGGGGAGGATAGAGGGGTTGTGATTAATGGACCTAAAATCACAGATACATAGGGGGCCAGCAGGAGGCATGATGGTTAAGCTACTAGACTCCCACACGGTCAGTCACAGTTCGAGTCCCAGACCTGGTGAGTTGAAAATCACACTGGATGCGTGTGCATGGATGCCCAAAATCCTGAGAGGAGAATGGAGGAGAAGGGACTGTGATGTGGCCATCCCCCCTGGGGGTGATTTCTCATTTTTCTTTTCTCTGTCTCTGTCTCGCTCCAGTGAGCTCACATGTCCTATGGCAAAACCTAAAAAAAAAAAAAAAATCACAGATAGACAGGAGTAGTAATGCCTGGTGTTATAAGATACACTGGGGAGAATATTGATGGCAGCAACTTGTTGTGAATCTCAAGGAAACTAAAAGGGAGGATTTTGAATGTTTCTAACAAGTCATGACAAATGGTGAGATGATGCATATGCTAATTATTCTGCATGAATCATTACACATTGTGTTCTGTACTGTAGAATCCTCTTGTTCCCCATAACTATGAACAATTACTATATGTTAATAAAAATACTTAAAAAATAAATGAATAAAGAAACTGTGGTATATGTGACATTGAGTCATTAAAAAGAATGAAATCCGGGGCCATCAGGTGGCATGGTGGTTAAGGGCACTGGACTCCCACATGACCAACTAGTCCTGGACCTTGTGGCTTGCTTTCTCACTTTCCCTCTCTTTCTCTCTGTTCCTCTCTGGTCAAATTAGAATAAATAAATGAAGTTAAATAAAATGATTCTTAAAAAAAAAAAAGAATGAAATCCTGGGACCAGCAGGTGGTGTGGTGATTAAGGCAGTGGATTCCCACATGGCTGACCAGAGTTTGAGTCCTGGACCTGGTGGCTTGAAAATCACACTAGGTAAGTGTGTGCACATGCTCAAAATTCCAAGAGGAAAATGGAGGAGAAAGGATTATGGTGTGACCATCTCCCCCTCTCTGTCTCTCTGTCTCTCTGAGGCAAGTGCATGTACCCTACGGCAAAAACCCAAACCAATACCAAAACCAAAACCAAAACCAAAAACCCCAGGGATAAAATCCTATTATTTGAGGTAACCTGGGTGAGCCTGAAGGACATGATATTCAATGAAATAAGTCAGGTACAGAAAGAGAAATTCTGTAATTGTCACTCACACATAGAAATAGAAAAGGATGACCTCATAGAAGCAGAGAATAGAAGAATAACTATTAGGGGGTGGAAGGACAGAGGGACAGGGTACAGAGAGATGTGGATTAATGGGAAGAAAATTATGAAAAGATGAGAGCAACTTGCAGTGTTATAGTTAACAGCAACTTACTGGATAGCTCAGAGGGCTGCTAGGAAAAGAGGATTTCAACTGTACCCAACACAGAGTAATGACTAATGGTTGAGGTGCTGCATATACTAATTATCTTGATTTATCATTACATCTTGTAATGACAAATCGCATTATGCTCCATAAATATGCATAATTACGATATGTCAAAAAACAGAAAGGAGAGCGTAAGAAGGAGGAGCGGTGGAGGTGGGAGGAAGAGGAGAGGAGAAAGTGCAGAAGTAAATGAAGCAAGGAAAAGGGGAGATACAGAGAAGGAGGGAGAAAGGAGGGACGAGAGGAATGAGCAGAAAGGAGACTGAAGAAGACACAAAGGAAAGAAAGAAAAAGTGTAGAGGAGGAAAAAGCGCCAAGAAGGACCCCAATGGTTGAAGGTCTTTACCGAGTCTGGATTTAATGGGACCCATGTATCAAATTTGGGGGCCATGAACCTGAAGGGGAAAAGAGCCTTGTTCCCATTCTTGAACCTCTATGATATTTCCTTCAGTCACACGTGTAGGCAACACATTGTAACATATCAGTCGCAGCAGAACCTGCAGCTTTGTCAGCAAGAGAAATCACAGATAGTTTCTGGGCTATTTCCTGGGATCTTCCTCAGTGGGCCAGTTGCATTACGACTCAGATGTAAGCCCACAGTTAGCTACAGGGTGGAACTGGGTTTCTAAGGGGATTTGTGTTTCCCTGTGCCCAGCCCCTCATGGCTGCTAATTCTCCTTTAGATCCAGAATCAATGCGATGATAAAAATAGCAATAGCTAACATGGAATGCCAGCTTACCTGGCGCTGCTAGTCACTATTCTGACCAGTCCCATTTAGGCTCTGTGGGCTGAGAGCTCACCCCACTAGGCATAATGGATGTCTGAACTATTTCTATGCCCCTCAGCATCTGCAGTTAGACTAGTGATCAGAACTGCCAGGAGATACTACTATTTAATGTATGAACAATGAAATGCATAGATTATTATACAAGGGGTCTTCAAAAACTTCATAGAAATGTTCATTAGGAGAAAAAAAACTATACATGGATTGCAATTTTTTTTTGAGTCAAAATGAACTTGTACTTTAATTGCATTTTTCCTTAAAATTTTAAAGGTTCCCTTACATGATGGATTGGAACAATAATTTCGAAAACCATAATCCAAAATGATTGGCTTCTTTAGTTTTCTTTCTTTTTTTGAAAAATTATTTTCTTTAACTTTATTTATTTAGATTTGACCAGAGAGAGAGAGAGAGAGAGACAGAGGAAGAAGAAGAGGAGGAGGAGGAGAGAGAGGAGGAGAGGGAGGAGGAGAGGGAGAGGGAGAAGGAGAGGGAGAGGGAGAAGGAGAGAGGAAGTGAGAAAGCAAGCTGCCAGGTCCAGGACTCTAACCATGGCGGGCCATTTGGGAGTCTAGCACTCTTAACCACCACGCCACCTGCTGGCCCCACGATTAGAGATTTTTGCTACAGGGCACGTTTACTCACCAGAGAGACAGAGAGAGACAGAGACAGAAAGCAGGAAATCACTCCCCCCAGGGAGGATGGCCACGTCATAATCCCGACTCCTCCATTTTCCTCTTGGGATCTTGGGCATGCACTCAAATGCACTTGGTGTGAGTTTTAAGCTGCTGGGTTCAGGACTAGAACTGTGGTTGGCTACATGGGAGTCCAGCGATGTAACCATTACATCATCTGCTGGTCCCAATTGGCTTCTTTTCTAATTGTATATATTCAATGCTTCTTAAAACATTAGTCTGAGAAGGGGTTTGTAGGTTTTACCAAACTTCCAGAGGGATCCCTGGCACAGAAGTTTGAGAATCATCGGCTCCAGAGGGAAACTGAGGCAAACACCTAGATCTTGTTAGCTTGGGCTGGACCCTACCCTGGTAGTGCAACTGGAAGGTCCCAAGGCCGTCATCTTGGAAGGTCCGGAAGTAGACGGAGATGGTGTTGGTGGGGCTTCGGATTACCTGCCCCTCCACCAGGAGTGTCTGGTTGGCCAGGACTGTCAGGGTGGGGCCATCCACCCCACGGATGGAGAGCAGCTCCCCCTCTGAAAGGTTCACGCTCTTCACCTGGGGAAAGGCAGGGAGGACAGAAGAAGCTATAAGTCACAGACAGGGCCCTCCCAGGCTGCAAGGATGCCAGCGCAGCAATCCCAGCTGGCCCCTAGTCAGGGGAGCACCTAGATCCCTCTCATCTCTCCAAAGCCTACGGGGACAGAGTAAAACCAAGCTGCAGGGCAGAGGCAGTGCAAGGGACTTGTGGTCTGTGAGGCCCCCATCGCTGCACACTTTGATGGAGGCTTCTCAGCTCTGGTAGCTAAGAGAGGTTCTCCCGGAGCTGGTGGGGAGGGGTGGGGATTTGACCAGCTTGTGCCTGATCTCAAAGTCATGCAACTGCAGCAGGCAGAGCTGTGCCTTACAATAAAATCTGGGTGCTTGAGCGCTGTGCCACCCTGCTTTTCCATTCTTAGCTTACAAGCGAAAGCTTAAAAGTCCAGTGAAACAGGTGGGGCTTCCTCGTGTACATGTGTTTGATAAGCAGGGTACCAAGGAGCCTTCCTTCTGGGTATAATGCCTCAAAATGTATCAATGTGTCTCCTCCATGTGTTCCGAGCAATTTCAGCAGGGTGCTGAGCTGAGAACTTCTATTCATTTGTCAAAAACGAACTTAAATTGCCCTGGCAAGAGCAAAGAACCACCGTGGTTAGGATGAACGGTCAGCCTGACTCAGACAATCCCCCAGAGGCTTTCTACAGGAAGAGGAAGCCCCTGCAGGACATTCTTCTGGGGTTACCTGGAGCTCCACTCCATAGCCAGTGTAGACTGTCACGTTGTAAGTACACTCCAGGAAGTTGTTGAGGGGCAGCGGAGGGTAGTCGCTGGAGTCAATGTATCCCTCCGGATCGGAGAAGCTCACACTGCAGAGAGCTGGAGGGAAGCACTTTAATTAGGACACCCAGGACAACTCAGAGCTCAGCTCACAGCTGGGCTGCAGGGCGGAGCTGGGCTTCTAGGAGATTTGCATTTTCCTGTCCCCACCTTCTCAGGGCTGTTAATTCTCCTTTAACTCCAACATGAAAGTGAATACAGCCATAGCTGATATGGAATGACAACTTACTAGTCACCATTGTGACCAGTCTACAGGGATAACCCTATTTATCCTTAAGCAAACTGATAGTTCACCCCCATTTTAGAAGTAAAGAAAAACTCAGAGAGCGGCCACTCTGGGGCATGCTCAGAGAGCAAGCATAATTCAAGCTCAGAGCTCACGCAGCGTTCGTCCAAGATGGATGAGCTTCGACGGTTAGGGGTCCCTCTCATGTTGGAAAGCGGGAGAGAAGACAGAAGGAGAAAGACTGGAACACGAATGTGCATTTTATCCCATCCAGAGAAATGCACGTGATGGTCAAAGGCAAGCACCCCAAAGAGCCTAGAAACTTCTAAGCCTGGTCGACAATTCCATTCCAAGATGGAAAGGTTTTCTTGAATCCCACTCCCAAGTGCAGTCTCGGGCAGGCTGCTGTGGTCTCAGGGTCTCAGTGGCCTCATCTTTAAAATGGGGATATTTAATTCTGAGCCATAGGCCAAGCTTGCAGCCAGAGCCCAACAGAGGATGGCCATCAGATGGTGGCGCAGGAGTAAAATGTGATGCTCTGACATGCAGGGGAAGGGTCCAGGTTTGCATCTGGGGACCGCCCCAAGCGCCCTAGGCATGTGTGTCCCTAATCCGGAGTTCACTGCAGCTGGGGATGGCTCACAGAGTCACAGCCATGTAGGAGAACGGTCTTCCCCCACCCTAGTCTCTCGCTCATGGAAGAAATAAGTAAATAAACTAACAACAACAAAAAATATGGTAACTGACAGTGGGACCTGGGCTACCCCAGAACCCCTCATCCCCACCTCCTTGAGGGTTTAGGTGTGGGGGTTAGGGGGTCTCTGGCTGTTGTAGGAGGGCAGGGGCTGCTTACCTGGGGCCTGCTCCGTGGTGATGACCGTGGTCGTAATAATGGTGGTCGTGGTGGTCTCCTGGCTCTCCTCTGAGGCTGATCCGGTCAGTTCGTTCTCACCTTTGTCCATCAGGGTCAGGGGGCTGGTATCCTCGGGGGGAACCTCATGGGCCTCTTCAGACATGGCGGAGTCCCCGTCGTCTGGCCTCTGGGGAAGCGTGTGGGCCACATAGGCCTGCGAAGTGAAGGGAGAGATTTGCAGGGGTGCTGGTGTCGTGGGGGCCGCACCTTCCTTCCTGTCCAGCCAGAGGGGCACCTCTGATGACTCCTTGGAGGCAGCAGCGGGGTCTCCAGGTGGGTGGGGCTTCTCGGTGGAGGAAGAGAGGAGACCCAGGCCTGAGGGTGCTGGCTGAGAGCCTACCCTCTGGAGGGCTGCTGTGGAGGTGGCCTTCGGTCTCAGCTGCTTCCTGGCCGAATTCACCTGTTTGAGGGAGGGTGGCTTCTTCCTGGGGGAGTAGGTATGCTTGGTGCTGGTCTCTTCTGTAAGCAGCGGGGGCAGGACCGGGGGGTCGTGATGCCTGGAGGAGGCCGTCCCTTCCAGCTCCAGCTCGCCGAGCTCTTCCCCCGACTGTGTGGGACTCCCAGGAGCCATGGTCACTCTCTCTTCCAGGCTTTCTTTGCTGATCCTTCTGTTCTCCAGTGCCCTCGAGGGCAGGAGGTGTGGGCCAGCAGGGCCAGCATCTCCCTCTGGATGAGCATCTTTGGAGAGGAGAAAAGACATCCATTAGCTTGGGGCTGAGGGGTCTAGGAACTCCACCTTCTGCAGACTTTGAGGTGGCCCTCTAGGGGTGGCACCCAAGACTTGCCAGGCTATCCTTTAAACCATCTCCTCCCCATCTCTCTCCTTTCCTTCTTACTTTCTCCACTCCTCCCTTCCCTTCCCTTCCCTTCCCTTCCCTTCCCTTCCCTTCCCTTCCCTTCCCCACTCTCTTCCTTTTCCTGAAGACTGGGGGTCGGTCATGCCAGAACTAAGCTGAACATTAGAACCACAGAAACCAAGGGCACTGGAGGCTCGTGGTCCGGGAGTATATGTTCTGGGGAAGTTGGGGGGGGTGTGCACAGAAAGTGGAAGCAAGCATATTTCATGATTCGATGCTTAGAAAGAGAAAGCACATATATGAACAGGACCAAGCCAATGGACTGCTAAGTTAGTGTGCAGGGCAGGACTGCCATGGAGAGTTGGGTAGGTTGTTCACTGCGCAGGGACACGCTGCTAAGAGGCTGAATGAGGATATAAATCAGGACACACTCTTCTTGGAGTTGCGTGCCCTGGCTCAGTGATGTACTGTCTCGGGTTTGGATATATATATATATATATATGTAAATTTACTAGAGGTGCATGTATTTGTTGGAGGGAGGGAGAGAGATTGAGAAAGTGAGGAAGCATCCCAGGGGTGCCAGGCTGAAATCATCTCCTCTCAGGATTCTGCACATGCACACACATGGGCCCAGTATGTTTCTTAAGCTGCAGACACTGGGACACACTCTGTAGTCGGCCATGTTGGATCCGGCCACCTTAACCACTATGCCACTGGCCTGCCACCATGTGGTAATTATAAGGAAAGGCTTGCCCAGGCAGCTGTCTGCAGAATCACACCCGAAGTCAACTTCCTTGTTTCTTATTTGTGGCTTGCTTCTGCCAGTTGCTGGGAATCGGCCAGGGACTCAGCTGGTAAGTCGTTTTTCTCTCCTAGCCTCAGTTCCCTCAGCTGTGAAATAGGTCTACGATTCCCTGTTCCCTAGGGTTGCCAATATTCAGTAAGCTGATGGATGTAAGGCACTTAGCAAACTGCCTCGCCCGAAGTGAGTGCTTAGCAAACGCCAGCTGCCGTCATCATTTTACTGTCGTCATTGTTGTCACAGCACCCCAGTGAGACACTGGAGCTGTCCAACACCCCCGTGATGGTCTCGAGATAGAGAGGAATGACATCATGGGACAAAGGACTGAGAGCTGTCCTTGTCGATTTTCTGCAGAGAGACACTCACTCAGCCACCGTCTCCAGGCCCCTCAGCGCTGTCATTTAAATTTATTTCAGCAGCGGCTGGAAAGGCTCATTTACTTTCATGGAGTTGGCGGCAGTGGCTTAATCTATACAGACTGCAACAGTTTGCAACTAGCATCAACAAATGTTCCTGTTGTGTAATATCGATCACCAGCCAGTGTTCATTCCAGGCCCACGGCATCACTGGGGCTGGAGTGGGTACAGGGAAGGAGAGGGGGTGTGGATGGTACCAGGATAGGGTCAAGGCCATTCAGGGGTCCAGCAGGTTTTCTAGTCCAAGGCGGAAGGGCTGTGCCTACAGAGTTAGACCTGGGTTCAAATCCTGCCTGCTACACCGTGAGTTGAACGAGCCTGGATGAGTCTGTTCACCGTTCCGAGGCGCAGAATCTTCTTTTGTATAATGGAAATGGTCTTTCTATTCCTGAGACCAGATGGGGTCTGCCCTAAAGCTGTGGCTTTATGCTCACCATTGCTTTCTATGAAATGATTGATATTGGCCAGCCATGCAGACTGTGGAGTGAGAAGAGTGTGGGGAGATAAGAGGAGCGGAGGTGAGAGGTCGGACACCCAGCTCCTGAGCTCCAGCTCTGCACAGGGCTTGGGTGGAACCAGGGCTAGAGGGACCCAGGGATGGTTTTACATGGTTCCTTTCCAATCACTTAACTTGGTGTGGGCTTCCTCTTGGCTTCCTCTCTTCTTTGTCTGGGTCAAGTGATGATGGAAGGACTCTTCTACCTCTGATAATGGTTTTTTTATTTAAAAAATTTATTAAGGTTTTATGCCATAGGGTGCATGTGCTCACTGAGAGAAATAGAGACAGTGAGAGGAAAAGTGAGAAAGTGACTATGTCACAATCCCTTCTCTTTCATTCTCCTGGGACTTGGGGCCATGCAGTCACAAGCTCCCAGTGTGAATTTCAAGCTACTGGTCCAGGACTTGAACCATGGTCGGCCATGTGAGAGTCCAGCACTGTAACCACTTTGCCACCTGCTGGCTCCCATTGTTGGTTTTTGAAACTACAGGTGGCCAACAATCAGTTTTAGAGCCATTCATGAACCCCATTAAACTGGGCAAAGTGACAGCTATATCCTGATACGGTTGATGAGTTTTGTAGGGTGCCGTGGTGGCCCAGCCCCTTCCCAAATATCTCCCTTTGATCGTGAAGTAGAATGAGAGACAGAGGGAGATAACGATCGGGAAAGCGAATTGTGTCAACTGCATTCAAGGAGGTGGCAAAAAGCACATTCACACACCTTCGCTGTAAGAATAGAGGTATTTATAACACGTCATTTTGTGCGCTTGGGTGCCCGGTATGTCCAGGCGTGTGCTCACCACTTGGCATTTCTTACCTCATTTAATTCTTTCTCAACTTCATGGGGCAGAAATTGTTATTCTTATCTTGTGGATGAACCAACGGAGGCTTTGAGATATTAAAGAACTTTCCAAGGTCGCGTGGCAAAGCTGAGTTTCAGACCCCAAAGACCCTACTACTAATTTTTGGTTTGTTTGTTTGTTTTTGTTTTTGTTATAGGGTGCGTGTGTGTTCACCAGAGAAAGAAGAGAGATAGAGAGACAGTGAGAAATCACCCTCCCAGAGGGGATGAGCATGCCACAATCCTTTCTTCTCCAATCTCCTCTTGAAATTTTGGGCAGGCATACACACACACACACACACACACACACACACACACCTGGTGTAATTTTCAAGCTGCCAGGTTTGGGGCTTGGACTGTGGTTGGCCACGTGGGGGTTCAGCACCTTAACCACCACACCACCTGCTGGCCCCCCTACTAGCTCTTCTGAGAAACATGGGGTGTTGTGGGGCCAGGCAGTAGTGCAGTGGTAGCACTACTGAACCCACAGGGAAAAGTTCCTGGGTTCACATGTTAGGACCTCCCTGAGCATTTGGGGTCTGCACACATGTGCCCATGATCTGGGCCAGCTGAGACCAGAGGTGTATCAAGGTGTGGGATCCTGCTTGGGGGTCCTCTCTATCTGTCTGTCTCTCTGTTTCTCTCACTCATGAAATGCATAAATAAATACAATTTTTATGCCACTTGGCTCAATTTGAACCCCCTTCCCTGTCACACTCTCACTTTGAGTTTCTTCTTTTTTGTGAAAGTTTACTTTGGGGACCAGCAGGTGGTGTAGTGGTTGGGTCACTGGATCCCACATGGGCAACTGTGGTTCAAGTCCCAGACCCAGTGGCTTAAACATCATGCTAGGCACGTGTGTGCATAAGCCCCAAATCCTGAGGAGAATGAAGGAGAAGGGACTGTAGTGTGGCCATCCCCCCCCCCAAACCTGGGGTTTGATTTCTTACTTTCCTTCTTTCTATTTTTCCCCCTCTCTCTCTGTCTCTGGCAGGTGTACACACCATATAGCAAAACCTTCTCTCTCTGTCTCTGGCAGGTGCACACACCATATAGCAAAACCTAAAAAAAAAGAGTTAATTTTGTTTGTGATAGAGAGCACGTGTGTATGCACAGAAGGGGGGCCACCCTGGGTCTTGTCATGCTACAATCCTTTCCCAGCCCTTATGCTGGTCAGACATGTTTACAGGCACATCCAGGGATCTGAACTCATGACTGGCCATGTGGCTTCCAGCAGTGCAGTTTACTCTGCTACTGGTGAGACAAGGCCGGGTCTCATTGTGAGCTTTTCTAACCACACACATGATAATCCCCCCACCCCTTCTCCCCTACACATACACCCCAGATTCTCTCCTGCCACCTCTGAACCTTCAGAGTGGGTCTTGGGAAGCTGAAGATTGAAAGCCCCTCTGGTGAGATCAGGGTAGTTTGGGAACCCGTGACCTAGCCAAACTGTCTAAGTGTCCCCCCCCCCAGTTCTGCCTTTTAGGTGCCTGACTTTGCAGGTGGTAGGAAACGGGGTGTGGGTTTGTGCGACAGGTGGACACTCTGCTTTCTGTGGCCTGTGACCTCCCTGGATGATCTCAGCCCTCCAAGCACTGTATAAAACCATCAGGGACAGAAGGAAATACGTGACAGCAGGTTCTTTAATCCATTTCCTCTCCTGAGCCCTTTGCTTAGGGAGCCCCAGGGCAAAGGGGGCCCTCACAGCAGCTACAAGCCCTTCAGGAAGTAAATCCAGTCGGGGTGAGAGTCAGTGCTTTCCCATCGAAACCTGATTGTCAAGGAGATTTCCCCATCTACCAGATAAATCCACCTCCCTGCCCTCAACGTCCCTTCCTCCTCATATCACGTACAAGCTGGCTGGTACAGTCACGTACGCATCATGTTGCTGGCAGGCTTTAAACTCCAGGTCAAGTTCAAGAAGAATGAGCATGTATCTGACGTCTGGTCTGCACCCGGGGCAGCCTGCAGACCTTGTTTTTAGCTGGTATGTCTTGATGGGCACCACACAAAACCGTGTCCCACTGACAATTAGTCAAATCATGATCCAGGGCCTCAGAGATCCAGTAATTCTGTTGTTGTTTGAGAGACTTTTGCTATAGGGTGTGGGGGTTCCCCAGAGAGAAAGAAAGAGAAAGAGAGACTGAAAGCAAGAAATCACCCCCCACCTCCTCGAGGGGATGGCCATGCCGCAATCCCTTCTCCTCCATTCTCCTCTTGGGATTTTGGGCACACACACACACGTGCTTGGCATGAGTTTCAAGCTGTTGGGTCCAGGACTTGAATCATGA